ACGCTGTGGTTTTCCTGGAATGAGACATGACAACAATCAGGCCCGAAGGCTGGGACTCCTGGCGCCTGTGGGGAGACGGGGGGCGGGGCAGGGATGGGGGTGGGGTGGGGGGGCGCAGAGGCCAGGAGCATGGGAGGCTACTTTCTTCAACCCCTTTGACCAAGGACAGAGTCCAGCAGGGGTAGTAGCTGCGCAGGCGGCACAGGAGGAGGGGTTCAGCCGCAAGCCCTATGCCTGTGACAGTGTCCGGGAGGCAGGGTGGCCTGGGGAGGGGGAGGGGCCTTGTCCCTGTGTGTCCTCACAGTGCAGTGTGGCCTGAGCGTGGTGAGGGGCGCCCGCCCGGAGGGCAGACGGAGCCGGACCTGAAGCATCTGTGCCATCAGGCGGGTGCGTCCTGGAGACACTCAGGTTGGCCCCCCACACACACAGGGCAGCGTGTGAAGCAGGAGGAGGCAGCCCGGGCCTGGGCACCGGCGGGAGCCCAGCTGCAGGGAATCTGGCGTCCTCTATGAGCAGGGATGGACAGGCTCTCCGGGAACCACAGGCACTGGACAAACAGCTTTTTCTTCACCTTCTATTTAAAAAGATGGAAGCCCTGGCTGGTGTGGCTCAGCGGCCCGTTTGAAATGAATAAAACTAAAAAAAAAAAAAGACCGTACCCTTTTATGTAATGATGTTTACTTTGAATTTATATTAGTTCACACAAACACTCCATCCATGCTTTTGTTCCGGCTCTCCGGTCCAGTTTAAGAACCCATTGTGGCCCTCGAGTCAAAAAGTTTGCCCACCCCTAGCCTAGGCCCACGGACCAAAGGGTCCTGGGTCCGATTCCAGTCAAGGGCACATGCCTGGGTTGCGGGCTTGACCCCCAGTAGGGGGCGTGCAGGAGGCAGCCAATGAATGATTCTCTCATCATTGATGTTTCTATCTCTCCCTCTCCCTTCCTCTCTGAAATCAATAAAAATATAATAAATGAATGAATGAATAAATAAATAAATAAGACGGAACTTGAGGCCATTGGTCTTTGTGAGCCATTCGCTGCAGACAGGGAGTGAGGACTGAGCCAAGGAAGGCCCTCTTCCCAGATCTGCCCTGTCATCCGATACTCAAACCCCTGGAGCTGCGGCCCCTTCTCCACAAGGAGCCCCCCGACTCCCTCCCAGAGGATTGGCCAGGACCTGGGGGGGGGGGGGGGAATGCCCGCACAGCTTCCTCCCAGTGCCCTCTGGCCCGAGGCCTGGTTTCCTTCCAGAAAACTCTTGGCTGAGCCACAGGGTCAGCTCCCCCCTCGGGGGAAACACCTGGAGCTGGGAGGGCGGAGGGGAGTCCCCCCTCTCCTCTGTCGGCCTCTGATTGCTCCCTCCAGCGCCCGAAGGCCCCATCAGTCCCAGCCGCCGCCGTAAGCCCCAAAGGAAGCCAAGAGTTAGAGGTGCTTTCCCCACCAACACCCACAAACACACACACCCAGCAAGAGCCTGGGAGGGGGGGTAGGGGGAGGCAGCCCGGGGCCTCACGGGCAACGGCACTAGCACAGCTCCCTGCTGCAGACGTGGCCGGGAGCCCGCGTGGTGAGCGGGACTGGGAGCCGGAACCGGCCACAGAGGCAACGTGCTCTCTGGCTGCAGTGAACGCACAAAACTCGCCTGTGCCGAGGCCAGTCCCGCCCCCGACAAGGCGCCTGGACACACAGGGTCTGGTCCGGGAAGAGCCACAGGACGAAGGGCATCTTGAAACTGCGCCACAAAGAGGAGCTGCGGGAGCCGGAGAACCCTCAGCTGGAAGGACTAACTCTCCGCAGGGGCCTGATGGACATGCAGACAAGGAAGACTCGGCAACGATGACAGCCAGCATGGATTCTGTCCCTACTGTGTGCCAGGCACATGCTAGCTGCTTTCCATACATGTTTTCATTTCAGGCTCGGCGCCAGTCCTATGGTGTAGGTGCCTGTATTCTCCCCAGTCCACAGGGAAGCTGAGTGCCTTGCCCAAGACCACGTGAGTGGGGGAGTCCGGTGACCAGGTGGCCTGGCCCCCCTGCCGCCCTGACACATGTCTGTGGGCCCCGCCAGAGTGAGGAGCAGCGCGAGGAAGCTAAGGTGTGGGGGCAGCACGAGGAGCACTTGTCAGCACCTGGGGGTGTTCAACAGAGAGCACGGGGGGCCTGGGGGTGAGGAGCTGCACACCACTGCAGAGAGGAGAGCAAGGGTACAGAGAGGAGAGCAAGGGTGCAGAGAGGAGAGCAAGGGTGCAGAGGAGAGCAGGGATGCAGAGAGGAGAGCAAGGGTGCAGAGAGGAGAGCAAGGGTGCAGAGAGGAGAGCAGGGATGCAGAGAGGAGAGCAAGGGTGCAGAGAGGAGAGCAAGGGTGCAGAGAGGAGAGCAGGGGTGCAGAGGAGAGCAAGGGTACAGAGAGGAGAGCAGGGGTGCAGAGAGGAGAGCAAGGGTGCAGAGAGGAGAGCAGGGGTGCAGAGAGGAGAGCAAGGGTGCAGAGAAGAGAGCAAGGGTGCAGAGGAGAGCAGGGGTGCAGAGAGGAGAGCAAGGGTGCAGAGAGGAGAGCAAGGGTGCAGAGAGGAGAGCAGGGGTACAGAGAGGAGAGCAAGGGTGCAGAGAGGAGAGCAGGGGTGCAGAGAGGAGAGCAGGGGTGCAGAGAGGAGAGCAAGGGTTCAGAGAGGAGAGCAAGGGTACAGAGAGGAGAGCAGGGGTGCAGAGAGGAGAGCAAGGGTGCAGAGGAGAGCAAGGATGCAGAGAGGAGAGCAGGGGTGCAGAGAGGAGAGCAGGGGTGCAGAGAGGAGAGCAAGGGTGCAGAGGGGTCGCAGAGACGACTTTGCCAGGCACATCACAGAGCAGCAGCAGCAGGGAAGCTGTTAGGAATGCAAACCCCGCTAGGACCCTAGTGGATCGGAAACTCGGTGGCTGGGCCCCGTCGTCTGTGTGTGAACAACCACTCGTGATTCCGACACCCACTCACAAGGGCGAGAACTGCTGGCATAGGAGCCTCGCACCTGCCAGGATGGACCAGCTGTGCTCGCCCTTCCCACTGCCGAGCCCTCGCAGTTCCACTGACGTCGCATAAGAATACATGCAAGCCCAGCCGGCGGGGCTCAGGGGCTGAGGACTGACCTATGAACCAGGAGGTCACGGTTTGATTCCGGTCAGGGCACATGCCCGGGTTGTAGGCTCCATCCCCAGTGGGGGGCATGCAGGAGGCAGCCAATCTATGGTTCTCTCTCATCATTGATGTTTCTGTCTCTCTCCCTTCTTCTCTGAACTCAATAAAACTATTTTTTTAAATATATGATTTACCATCAACCAGAGTTCCTTTTCATGTGGAACATTTGCCAGTAAGATCTTAAAAACAGTATGTCAGTTTCTAAATTGTGTCATCGGACTCAGGTGCCCAGACAGCCAGGGCTGCCAGGATATTTGGGGGGCTCCCCTCAGCACCCTATGTCCCAGCCACCTCAGTAGCTGCACTGCTTTCCAAAAGCCCAGCGTGTCCCTGTACCTGGGTTCAGACTGTTCTTAGGTCGGAAAAACGCTCACCCTGGCCGCCTGGAATCCTACCTTCTCTCAAAGCTCAACTCAAATGTCACCGTGTCCCCTGAAGACCTCACAGGGCCTGGCACACAGGGCACCCCCCCCCATCCTCCTCTCCTTCCTCAGTTTCTCTCGCCTCCGGGTGCCAGGCCCTGGGAGCACTGCTGTGTCGCTGGCAAGGGTGTGTCACTGGCGAGGGGCCGCTCTGACACAGCGAGCAGAGCCCGGTCATGCCGGCCACACCGTCCCTAACAATCAAGCTCAACGAGGAGGGATCAGAAGCAGTGTTTAAACAATCGTGTCTGCGAGATGGACAGACGCTGCACAAAGGCTGAGAAGCTCTGTGTTTCCGTCTCGAGCCCTGAGGTCTTTGCAAAACTGTGAGAATGTTGCAATCACAAGTGAGAACACACGTACACCCGCGGGTGCTCAAGCGGCCCCACCCTCCGCACCGACAGCCCTGTGGCTTCAGCTCCCCTGCATGTTCGTGGCGATCAGCCTCCGGGTGACGAGAAACAGAGAAGGCAGGCGTGTGACCATTAGGGACAGCGAATCAGGACCCCGGGTTACGGGTGCCAGCCCCGCTAGCAGCTGATGTCTGTGTGGCCACGTGCGCTGCGGGGACCAGGATGGAGAGGGCCGGTAAATGGGGTAAAAGCCCTCCGGCCCCTTCCCTCTCCCGGCTCCCGGATGGACTTACCCATTGGCGAAGCCGAACGGTTTGGCGGCAGATGTTCCCGGTGTCTGTCTCCCCCGCCGGCACTTGGGAAGGGGCTGAGCACCGTGTGTGTTAAGGGCCACAGTGAAGCGTAGAACGGGGTCCCCCCACACAAGGGGGAGCGTGGCCCGAGGTCCGGCATGAACAGTCCCACCTTCAGGACCGCCCTCGGGCTCCCAGGGACCCAGCACCGGTTGGCGCTCACGACAGGTGTCTGCTCCGGAACCAGAGGGCTCCCTGGTGCCCAGGTCCCCTCCGGCACTGAGCCCGGCCGGCCTCGTGAAGTTAGATCCAAATCAATACTCGTTCCACCAAAGGGTACAATCCTAGAACCTGGGAAGAGTCACTGCCTTCTCCCAGCCATCGCCAACCAAGGAGGAGAACAGACGGGCATGGGTGAGGGGTCACAGGTCATGCCCCTCTCACCCTCCGTACAGGACCAGTTGGGTGCCCTCCCCCCCCCCCTCTGCCTCCTCAGCCTCCTGGGATCAGGCCCTGCCCTCCACGTCCTACTCCTAAGCAAAACCTTCTCTCGGGAAAAGACTTGGCACCTTTCTTTGTACTTAAGAGCACAGCATGTCCTCATGTCTCCTAGTTACTGTTATCAGTCCTATCCCCACCAACTATCAAGTGAACAATCTGTGGCTCCCAAGGTGAGAAGACAATTTCCACGGGTGGCTTCTCAGCCCCCCCAGCCCCATCGTCTGTTTCTAACGCAGAAAGGAGAAAGAACAGAGAAGGAGGGAGGAGAAAAAAATTCACAGCGGCGGTGGAAGAGAGAAGCAGGAAGACCCCTGATTACTAAAAACAAAAAAACCCACTGTGTGGTTTTCAGAGATCATAGATGCCAGTAATGAGGCAGAGCACGGCCGGAAGTGAGAGGGGGTTTTAACTAGACAAGAACCAGGCGAGAGCTGAGAGCACATTCGCGCTCCCACCAGAGCCAGCAGCCCCAGCAGGAGAGCTTCTGTCGGAAGGTAAAGGGGCCCGGGAGCGGGAGCGGGAGCGGGAGCGGGAGCGGAGCGGGGTGGGCGGTGGCAGATCTGCTCAAGCAAAGGCAGGCTCCAGGGCCCCCCCACCCCGCCCCCCCCCCGAGGAGCCCCGTCCCTTCTCCCAGGCGCCCCGGAGAGAAGCGTGCTCACTCTGCTCAGCGGCTCAGGCACGCGGACACTTTCCTGACGTGGGGAAGAACCACACGGGGTGTTCACGGGAGGGAGAGCGGGGTGAGCTCTGGGAGTCGCCGACCTGTGGAGCCGAAATCCTTCCTTCTGCTCTAAAATCTCCTGGCTACTCTGTGTTGTTCAGTCCTCATGGGGGACAAATGACAAGTCATTCCTAGCGATAAAAAGGAGACAGTTAGGCCTGGCCGGCATGGCTCACGGTTCGATTCCCAGTCAGGGCACATGCCCGGGTTGTGGGCTCGATCCCCAGTGTGGGGTGTGCAGGAGGCAGCCAATCAATGAGTCACTCTCATCACTGATGTTTCTCTCTCTCTCCCTCTTTATTCCTCTTTGAAAGCAATAAAAAATATATATATTTTTAAAAAGGAGCTAGTTACTAAAGCAGTGGTTCTCAACCTTCCTAATGCCGCGACCCTTTAATACAGTTCCTCATGTTGTGGTGACCCCCAACCATAAAATTATTTTCGTTGCTACTTCATAACTGTAATTTTGCTTCTGTTATGAATCGTCATGTAAATATCTGATATGCAGGATGTATTTTCATTGTTACAAATTGAACATAATTAAAGCATAGTGATTAATCACAAAAACAATATGTAATTATATGTGTTTTCCGATGGTCTTAGGCGACCCCTGTGAAAGGGTAGTTTGACCCCAAAAGGGTGGCGACCCACAGGTTGAGAACCGCTGTACTAAAGGAGAGTTACCAGCATTGATCAACTCTCCACTTGACTCCTCAAAGCCTGGGACAAGCCACTGGGCTCCATGGGCTGGGAGCTGGCCTTGCGAGGCACCTCTGAGGGAGGTACACACCCCAGATGTGTGCTCTGCGGGTGATGCAAGCAATGGGGGTTCAGGCCACTGGCATGTTTTTTGGCCGAGTAAAGCTGGTAATTCCAGGGTGAAAGTAATGGTGTAGATAGTTCTCCCAAAGCTCAGTCACGCACGTTAGCGGGGAGACCTTTGACCTGGTGGGAATCAGGAGACCTCAGTTTCCCTAGTTGCAAAGTGAGGAAGCTGTCAGCAGAACTTCTGACCTGGGGGCCATGGGTTTATTCATGGGATTTGTGAATTTGGGGAAAACAGTCATCTTTATGTTCACTAGTCTCTACTCGAAAGCATGTCCTTCCATTATGATACAGGCAACAAGCCTCAGCAGAATTGGCCGTCAGTAGAAATCGCAGTCAAATCTCATTACAGCTGCGACAGGCTCCTCAGATGTCGTCACGGTCATCACTCTGAAGTGTCCCCTCTGGGGCTGATGAGGGGCTAAAGGAGCACGCGCCCTCCGTCGCACATTCTTCCTGCCCCGTTATCCTCTGTGTTTCATTTTATTCATTTTAAGTGTTATTCTGAGAACAGGATCCACAGACATCACCAGACAACCTAGAGCAGCGATTCTCAACCTGTGGGTCGCGACCCCTTTGGGGGTCGAACAACCCTTTCACAGGGGTCGCCTAAGACCATCGGAAAGCACATATATAATTACATATTGTTTTTGTGATTAATCACTATGCTTTCATTATGTTCACTTTGTAACAATGAAATTGGGGGTCACCACAACATGAGGAACTGTATTAAAGGGTCGCGGCATTAGGAAGGTTGAGAACCGCTGGCCTAGAGGGCCCATGGCACATTGAGGTGAGGGTGAGGCCTGCTCTGGGTGCTGAGAGCAGATGAGTCTCGGGGCCTCCGGACCCTAAGGGTGACTGACAAACGGTTCTACTCTAAGGAGTCGGGGTCCCGGGCACCTTCCATTTTGTGGGAGATGTGCAGACAGGTGGCCGTGGAGCCCCGGGGCTGGGGCTGGGCTGGGAGCCTCGCCCTCGCGGTCCTGTCCCACCAGCAGCGCACGCTCCCGGAACCTCTGCACAGTTCTAGGGGCCATTTGATTGTCACAGCATTCGCGTGGGTGGGAGGCTGAGCGAGGTCGGTAACGCTGGATTTGATTCCAGGCCTCCAGGTGCCCCCCACTTTAAAGGTCGGGCGAGGAGACAACCGGGGCAGCCTGCCTAGCCTGGGAGGGCAGAAGGGGGGTGTCAGCCTAATGTGCACCCCCATTCTTGCCCGCTGAGGGGTTTGCCGCGTGTCTTAAGAGGGAGGGGAGGCCAGAAAGTCCCCAGGCTCCCCCCCCTGCTCTTGGGGCCATAGAGGGCGAGTTGCCACTGTAATAAGGCTTCTCTCCAGGGCCCATCAACCCATCAGACCTGATCTTGCACTCCCCACGCCCCCACAGTAGTTTAGGTTTTTCCAAGCTAGCCCCGCAAGGCTGACCAGAGCGCATCCCCCACCCCCACCCTCACCCCCCCAAACCCGGAGGCTCAAGGGATCACATTTTGCAAATTTGGGCTGATGAGCAGCGGGGAGGGTCACCTCCGCTTCAACTGGAAGGCGGCGCCCTCTAGCGGTCAGAGTGCAGAACCAGCAGTGCCTGGTCCGCCGGGCACCAAGGTCAGATTCCAGGAGCATCCTTTGCCCACGGTCCTCGCCGGCCTCCAGCCCCCCTAAGCGGCCCAGGGCAGACTTACATGCCCAGCTCTAGCCAGGCCGCAGACACCCCGAAGCACCCCTGCGTCAGCGCCCGAGGGCGGGCAGCCTGTGTGCCGCCCCCCTTTTGGAAGCAGTCCCTGCCCCTGCCCCTCCCACCCCGTTGCACTAGACCAGTGGTTCTCAACCTTCCTAATGCCGCGGCCCTTTAATACAGCTCCTCATGTTGTGGCGACCTCCAACCATAAAATTATTTTCGTTGCGACTTCATAACTGTAATGTTGCTACTATGATGAATCGTAATGTAAATATCTGATATGCAGGATGGTCTTAGGCGACCCCTGTGAAAGGGTCGTTCGACCCCCAAAGGGGTCGCGATCCACAGGTTGAGAACCGCTGCACTAGACCCTCAGGAACCAGCCGAGAGGAGGGACTTGACCTCTCCAAGGCTCAGCTAGCCAGCGCGGAGCCCATCCCCACCTCACCCCTGTATTCATGGGCACCGGCCCCCAGCGCCGACAAACATCTGCCAAGGCCTAACTCCGTGGCCATATCGCAGCCTTTGAAGATCCCTCATTCAGAATTTCTCCTGCTGGCTCCTTGGAATACTCACGGCCTAATTATCATCACAGTCCTCGTGCTGTGACCCTGCCTGAATGGCTTGGATAGGCATGAGAAGGGGGACAAAGGAAAGTAAACTCTCAGAGACCTGCCTAACTTGGGAGCTGGAATCCTGTGACTTCAAGCTGGTCACACTGCGTGCAAGCCTCCGTGGGATTAGTACAATAGCGTTTCGCTCAACTTGCAATGTTTGTCTCAAGAGTCTGCAGGGTGTTCTGGAGGAGACAGGGTGCAGCATTAGGTGTGACCACAAGGAGGGGGGCCAGAGGTCAAGGTGAGGGCAGAAGCATTGGGGGCCAGACCACTGGGCTGCTGCTAGGACTTATTAGGATTGTGACAAATGTATAGGTAAATATAGAGAAATTAGCAATTGTCTCCATTTATATTTTCTTTTATGTTCCTTAATAGCACTTTATATTGTTTATCCTATAGGTCCCATATAGCAATCTTGTTATATTTTAAACCCATTTTAAATTTTGGGGCATTTTATAGGTATTTTACTGTTGTTATAATGCATGGGATTTTTCCTTCTATCATATTTTCTATCAATTGTATGTAGGAAAAACGATTTTATGTATTCATTTCATAAGTGAATACCTTATGAAATTTTATTTTTGCTATGTTTTACATTATTTTATGTAAGTTGTACTTACATAATAATCCATACTATGGATATGCCATAATTCACTCAACCATTCTCTAACCAATGGGTCTTCACCTTTTTCTAATTTTTGGTATTATAATCACTGCTGCAGTGAATATCCTCATGCCTATACTTCAGCACACTCCAGCTTTTACTTCTGTAACATGGAGTCAAAGGTACAGGGTACATTTTCATTCAGAGTAAATGACTGTGCCTATTTCCTCACACCCTTACTAGAACTGGGTTTATCAATATTTTTTATTTTTGTTCATCTATTGGATAGTAATTCTGAAATTCTGAACTCTGAATTTTATTTTATTTTATTTTTTTAATATATTTTATTGATTTTTTACAGAGAGGAAGGGAGAGAGATAGAGAGTTAGAAACATTGATGAGAGAGAAACATCGATCAGCTGCCTCCTGCACATCTCCTACTGGGGATGTGCCTGCAACCCAGGTACATGCCCTTGACCGGAATCGAACCCGGGACTTTTCAGTCCGCAAGCCGACGCTCTATCCACTGAGCCAAACCGGTTTCGGCTGAACTCTGAATTTTAAACAATTTGACCAGTAAGACTGAACAACTTTTCACTGCATTTCCTCTTTTTGTGTACTATCTATTCATTTATTCTACCTTTCATTTCTAATATTCTTAATTCTCTTGGGTTTTCCAGGTGTAAGTTATATCATATATAAGTAATAGTAATTTTGCCTCAAGAGTTCCAATATTTATCTCCCTCCCTTTACCCTCTTGTCTAAATGCAATGACTAACATTTCCAGAGCACTGTGAAATAACAGAGGTACTTGGAAGCATCTTTACCTGGCTCCTTGTATTAATAGAAATGACCTTATATTTATCATTAAATGATGCTAGAATTTTGAGATATATACTTCTCTATTATGTTGACTAATGTTCATACATTACCATTTCACTTGGGATTTTAGTGGGAATGAATATAAAATTTGATCAGAATATTGACTTTTTTTGCTAATAACTAGGTTAATTACATGATATCAGTACCACTTCCTTTTACTTGAATTTGCATCGACAAGAACTTAGCCACATAGGAACCCCTCATTGTAAAGGAGGCTGGGAAATGTTGTCTCCGGCAGGCAGGCAGGTTCTCTGCTAAAACACAGTGGAGGTGGGCAGGAGGGTTTCTTAAAAAGGGGGGCAGAGGGGAAATGGACATGGGCGGGGGGAGTCCAGTCAATTTGTTAAAAGCAAAGAAATTGAAACCACTTGATTCACGAATGGATTTTTTACCTTCAATTAGGCCTGATAATTCAAATCATCCCTGGGGTTCCCTGGAGGTCTTTACACCCCATGACAATGTCCCAGAGAAGAGCCAGGATGAGCGAGGGGTCTTGCCTTTCCTTTCTAGGGTGGGAAAGTGAAGGTGGGGAGGGAGAATCAGCAGCAGGCCTCCACCACAGGCATCTATCTTCTCATGCAAATCCATTTTAGGAAGAAATACAACTGTAAGTTACGGATCTGAAAATTAATTCATTTAATTAATTGTGCCCACATACCCCTTTGAAAGTCTTTAATGCCTCCAAGGTTATGCATGCAGATTTAAGGACATTACCTTAGAGCTTTAATTCTGACTGCCTTCTCGATTCTTTTTACATGCTATCATCCAGCATTTTAGTTCTGTCCCTTTTGTTAATCCCACAGACACATTTTAAATTTTAAAAACCTCAGATTAGTTTGACTAGGTTTTTTTTCTTAAAACTTTCATTGTAAAAATATGTAGTATATAAAACACATACCGAAAATCCCTTTGGTCCCTATGCTCCCCACACCATTCTCAAGGTGAATATTTTACATTTCCAAATGTGTTGTGTGTGTAGACAGACAGGAAGATAAGTAGGTACAGATATATATACATACACACACGTATATATTCTATATTCAATTTTTTAATTATCAAAGTATTACAAGCTCATCTTAGCAAGTCAAATAACTTAAAATGGTATAATGAAAATTAATAGGTTTTCATACTTCCCTCACAACACACCTCTGAGGATAAAAATATAAACAATGTGCTATGTACCGTTGTACTCTATCCTCTGTGATCTGTAAATATACAGGGTGGGGCAAAAGTAGGCTTACAGTTGTTCATATGGAAAATAATACAATCATTAATAAGTAACAACAATAAACTGTTTTGTGTACTCAGGACTGTAAACCTACTTTTGCCCTACCCTATATACAACTGTCAAGGAGGAAATTTCATCCTCTACCCTTCACGGTTCTTCTGGCTGGTGGTCTAATAACCAAATGAACACAAGACAGATTAGCAGGGGAAAAACAAATTAAAGTTTAGTGGTAGGCTCAACTCCTGTATACGTGGGATAGGCCCAGGAACGCTGAGTAACTCCCCCAAGTGGTGGAAGCCAGCACCTTTAATACCACCTTCAGCTGAAGACAGAAGATGATGCTGGGTTAGAGTCCGTTATGGAAAAGCACAGTAAACAAGGTTTAGATTGTTTGCAAATTTAAGTGCAAGCCTTCTCCACAGTGAAGGGAGGCCTGGCACAGTGAGGGAGACGCCTTTACAAATGGAGATCTCCCTTAGAAATAGAAATGCCCTTTGCCAGACGGCAACTTCTACTTGGTTTTCAGAGCTTCTTCTAGGTTTGCTCTTTCTTAAAATTAACCAGCCTAAAGTCATCAATGTTCCAAAGGGACGTATTTTGGGGTGGGAACCATTCTAAATCTACAAAAAGTGATTAAACATTTTAAAATAAAATATTATCAAGTCTATACATTATTTTCTAAGAATTAAAATATAAATCTATTAACATTTGTCAGGCATGTATACAAACACAATAAATGTAAAGAAATAGGCATGCACACACACGTGTATATGACAACGTATCTCAAGTGAATGACGAAAATAAGTTTTACTCAAATAAAGGTACTGGAATCACTGGTAGTTAGCTTGAAAAGATTTACATTAGGTCTGTACCTCATACTTTCCACCAAAATAAATCCCATAAAGACCAAAAGTGTTAACGTAAGATATGAAGAAATAAGAGTACTGGAAGAAACCATGGGAGAGGATTTTCAATTTGGGGAGCATGTCACAAAACCTGAAAGCCATCAAAGTAAAAGAACAGAGTGATAAGTTTAATGATAAGAAAAAAAACTTTTTCCCACAAAACAAAACCACCATAGAAAAAACAAATGACAAACTAGAAAAGTATTTCTCCCTCCCATCATGAAGGACTAATTTTTGAATCTATAAGCACTCCTGCAAATCAATCTATGGACACCGCAGGACCCACTCTCCGGGCTGCTGGTGGGGAGGCACTGCAATGCAACCCCCGGAGGACAACATGGCAGCATCACTCAACACAGCAAATGCACATGCCCTCGGGCAAGCAATGCCACTCCCAGAGATTCATCATTTGCAAGATGATGTATGTGCATGGTTACTCACCGCAGTAGGGTTTGTAAGAGATTGGAAATAACCAAAATGCTCACTAACAAGAATCTATATCAATAAATTTGCATATTTAAAAATACTGTGCAGCAATTTTCACGTGCTGATATGGAATGGTCTCCAGAAAATATCGGCAGCGAAAAGAGCAAACTGTAGGACAGAGTGATTTGTATGCCATCATTCTTCCTTGTTGGTGTTTAAACGGGGGGGAGGGGGGGGGCATAGGGAACTGTTTACATATGCACAGGATATCTCTAGCTGGAGCCACAGAGTCAGGCAACTGGGTGGCTGTGGGGAAGGGTCACTGGGGCATGGGAGCTGCAAGGAAACTTTTAACTGCATACCCGTCTCTGAAACTTGAACCCTGTGAATGTAATTATCTAGTCAAAAAGTTATACACTATAAAAGTATTTAAATATATTTTTAAAACATCTACAGAGGATTTTCTAAAATAAAAATGTATTTTTTTAAATATACATAGCTCTGAAATGTCTTTTTTGACACAATTGTATATTATGGATACCCATCCCTTCAGGTCCATAAAAAAAATAGAACTCATTTTTTAATATTATTCTACTATATGGATGAGTCAAAACTTATTCACTCATTTCCCTACTGATGAAAATTCAGGTATTTTCTTGGTCTTGGTTTTCTGTTCAGTTTGGGTTTGTCTTGATATGGTAATAAAATTTTCTTAGCTAGGATTAGAAGACATAAACATAAAAGGTGAAACAATACAAATATTGGAAAAGCCCTGGCCGGTGTGGCTCAGATGCTTGAGTGTCGCTCCATGCGCCAAAAGTTTATGGCTCAATTTCCCATCAGGGCACATACCCAGGTTGTGGGCTGTCCCTGGTGAGGTGAGGTGTGTGTGTGTGTGTGTGTGTGTGTGTGCGCGCGCGCGCGCGCAAGAGCAGCTGATTAATGTTCCTTTTTCTCTATCCCTCTCCCTTTAAAAATCAATATTTTTAAAATATTTAATATATATATACATATATATGAAGAAAATTATAATCTGAGCGTGAGGGAAACTTTAACACTGAAAACATAGATGATTTTTTTAAAATTTTTAAAAATGTATTTTATTGATTTTTTACAGAGAGGAAGGGAGAGAGATAGAGTTAGAGACATCGATGAGAGAGAAACATCGATCAGCTGCCTCCTGCACACTCCCTACTGGGGATGTGCCCGCAACCAAGGTACATGCCCTTGACCGGAATCGAACCTGGGACCCTTGAGTCCTCAGGCTGACGCTCTATCCACTGAGCCAAACTGGTTAGGGCCATAGATGATTTTTTAAGAAAAGTTACAACTGTAAATTTTTCCTATGGAAAAAAAAGTCAAGAGACAACACATTGTGAGGTAATATTTGTTTAAAAAAAAATGGTCAACTGATGAACCAGGAGTTATGGTTCGATTCCAGGTCAGGGCACATGCCCGGGTTGCGGGCTCGACCCCCAGTGTGGGGCGTGTAGGAGGCAGCCAGTCAATAATTCTCTCTCATTGATGTTACTCTCTCTCTCTCTCTTCCTCTCTGAAATCAATAAAAATATATTAAAAATTAATTTTAAAATGGCAGACAGGTTAATATCCCTAATACAGAGAAAATTTCTAAAAGTTGAGTTTAAAAAATGCTAATACTATGAACAAGCAATTAATACAGAAGGAAATATTAATGACCAATAAACATCTGATGAGATCTTCACCCTCACCAGTCATGGAAATGCCAAAGAAAACCTAATTTTTCATCCCTCACATTGGCAAAATGTAAAAGATATAACATCCAGTGCTGGCCAGCACATAAAGTAATGTAGATTTTCAAATATTATTGTTGAACATATGAATCTCAACTACTTTTTAGAGGAATTTGATAATTTACAGATATTTTAATGTTCATATTCTTTGACCCAGAAATCCAATTAAACTTTTTAAAAAATCTGAAAATACAGCTTTTCGTGTCTCTCTCCTCCACCACCCCTCCACCTCCCTCAGAGTCCCGCCCACAGAAGCCAGGGCCTCGACCCGGGAGTGGTTGTGGAGCTGCCGCGGCCTCATCAGGGCTCCCTCTGTGCTTCCAGGAAAGCGAGGCCAAGGACATCAGCAGAGCCACCTGCTTCGAGTTCCTGAGCTGCTGACAACCTGCAGGACGCCGATGGCCTCTGGCAGAGGCTGCTGGGCCCTGGCCACTCTGCTGGCAATTGTGGACATCGAGCTTGGCGGTGAGGACAGCCATCCCCAAGCCCCAGAGCAGAGCAGCCCCCAGGGAGAATCCTGGGCTCCCGAGGGGGATGGACCCCATGTTTTTTCCCTAATGAGGAAGAAGGGACCTGCTCTTCTTGATGCTAATGCAAGGGTGACAGGCGTAGTTTCCTTTTCTTTGTTAGAACCCTATCGTGCACCCATCAGACATCGTGTCTGTGCTGTGTGTTGCAAAGAGCCTGGTAAACTGGCCCTCCCTCCGAAATTCCTACAGGCTCATAAACTCTAAATTCATGAAGTCCAGGTACCACATTTGCCAACTCCGAAAACCCATTTAACCGCTCTGTGCTTCGTATTTGTTCATCTATAAAATGGGAAAAACACCTGCCTCTAGGGCTCTATCAAGGATGAGGTACATTAACAAAGCACTTTAACTTAAAGGCCTATAGGTTCCAGGTGGACAGTAAAAATCAAACGCAAACCATTCAATAAATGAGGAGCTGGGATTGCAGGTCTCCATCAGACATGGGTGTAACTCATGGACAACTCCTCTAAGAGGATGGCATTTAATGTCCTGGGGCAGCCCCCCTCTCTGCCTCAACATTTGGAAATAACGCGAATTTATTTGCCATGTACTCCCACGGCTAATTCTTCCTTCCCATTTCAGGATGCATGCGCCTCTTCAGCTCAGCGTCCCAGCAAGGAAAGCGACTAAGCTTAACCTGCACCTTGCGGCACACGAACGAAGAGGCTGAGGGGGCCATCGTGTTTCTGTGCAAGGACAGGCCTTCGGACTGTTCCCCTGAGACCAGCTTGGAGCACCTGAGCCTGAGACGCTCGCCTGAGATGGATGGTGCCAGTGAAAGATCATCTCAGTTGGTGTTCACCATAACCGAAGCCACACCATCGGCCAATGGGACCTACCAGTGTTGTGCCAAAAGCCAGACGCCAGAAATCCTCCTTCAAGGTCATTTTCTCTCCGTTTCAGTCACAGGTGAGCTCCTAACATCCCTAATACCACAGGCGGGACCCCAGCAGGGTCAACAGCTGGGGACAGTAGGTATTTCGGGTTCTGACCAGGCAGCCTCCTTGAGGACGTCATTCCTGTTACAATCCTTTTCCCTCTCCCCCACTGGCCAATGCCGCTTTCCTACAAAGGCAATCTCCCTTTGTCTTCAATTTTAAGAAAGCTTACCGAGGTAGCCACCCCATTTTTATTGACACTGATTGAGTCACGAGTAGGTAAAAGCAACTTGTCCGATGCCCCTACTGACCAGGGCCAGTAAATGCAGGCGGAGGTCTACAATGGGAGGTCTAACAACCGAGCTCTCTGTGTTTCTAAATACAGGCACTGAGCCTTCAGGCTGGGACAGAGATTTGAGATAAAATGGATAGTTGTCTTAAAGACGATTTAGTTGTAAGAAACAGAAACCCATTCAAGCTGCAATAGATTAGAGGGGGGTGTCGATGGGGAGACAATAAAGCAAGAAGTATAGCCGGCCTGCATGAGATCATTTCCAGAAACCAGAAAGCCAGCAGAAGCCGAGTCCCTGCCTCTATCTCACTGGGGCAGCAAAGCCTCGCATCCCTACAGATCGCCTCCACTCTGCTCCCTGCTGTTACTACTTGGGCACAGGTTGAATAGGACCACTCCAGCCTCGGCGGTACCTACAGCTTCCTCATCTGCCCAGCAGAGCGACTCCGTCCCTACACGCCCAAAGGGGCAAGCCTTCCAGAGAGAAAATTCTATTCTGCCTAGAATTCCGTGCCCAACCAAGCCACCAATTAAACGTGAGGAAGGAATAGACGCCGTCAGACAAGCAATGACTCACAACTTGTCTCCTATGTGATCGTTATTAAGAAGCTACCAGAGAATGTGCTCCGGGAGAACTAGAAAGTGGACGGTAGGGTGGGTAAAACGGGATCCCGGAAACAAGGAACCTAACGGAAACGAGGATAAGGAAATTCTAGAAGAAAAGGGCCCAAAAAGAGCAATTAGACCAGCAGAGAGCGAGGGAGAGAGGGCTCCAGAAGGAAACGTTATAGGACAGAAATAGAATTGACAGATCAGCTCTCAGGAGCCTGTGACAGGTTGAAATCCTCATCTTCAATCAAAGTCAATAGACAATATCTGAACTTTATCCAGAAAGTGGTAACATGAGCATATTATTTAGAAATATGGTGAAACATGTCAAAGAATTGAGAGTGATGGTCTCTGGGGAATAGGCCTGAGGAGGATAACAGGGCACTGCTATTATTCTTTATGAACTTTCAAAGAATTACTTGTTAACTTTAAGAAAACTAGGGATAAATCACACACACACACCCAAAATAGAAACCTGGCCCAGAGCCTTTTAACAAATGTTTTCATCCTCTCCTGCGGCTAGCAGTCAATCCAAATCTCCTACTTCAGTCTCGGCTGAGCTGTTATTTCCCTTCCTTGCTTCCCGGTATGTCTTCTTTGGCCCGAGCTACAGCACTCAGCATGTCCACGCTCCCCGACCAACTCCCGTCTCCACTGACTTCTGTGGCTGTGCTCCCGTTTTTTTCTACCTTTCTGACTTCTGTGCTCTCCTTCAATGCTTGTATTTCCTCCTCTCAAACAAGGGAATTCCTTCCCCAAGACTCCTCACTCCCCCTCCATCTTTTCACTCTCTCCCCCAAGTTCTCATCCACCCTCTTGATTTAAACCTGCCCCTCCCTGCAGCTGACCCACAAATCAACTTCTCCAGCTCTCAACTCTTCCCTAAGTTTCAGTTAAACATTCCCACCGACAACTGGATTCCAGCTCCTGAATGCCTACCATCTCCTCAGACTCAAACCCGTTCTCCTGAGACTGTACTTCTGTCCACTCTTTAGTCTAAACCTTGGTCCCTCCTTTTTCCCTTCCCCCATCCAGTTATTGAGTACTACTGGTTCTTTCCCACATTCATTCCTTTCTTTCCGGTATTCTCCAGGTCATCATCTCACTTAAAACATCCCAATAGCCTCTAACTGGTGAGCCCCTTGAGATCCAACTGTCTGACTCATCTTTATCTCCCACAGCAACTGCAGGGCCTGGCACTGAGCTGTTGCCTAATAAATGGCCCATCAACTCTAAAATATGGTCTCTGCCTCCAATCCACGCTACCACCCACCATCTAAAATGCTAATCCTATATAATAAAAGCCTAATATGCTAAATGTCCGGTTGTCTGGTCGGCCGTTCAACCAATCAAAGCATAATATGCTAATGATATGCTAAGGCCACTCAACCGCTTGCTATGATGTGCACTGACCACCATGGGGCAGACACTCAACATAGGAGCTGCCCCCTGGTGATCAGTGTGCTCCCACAGGGGGAGTGCCGCTCAGCCAGAAGCCAGGCTCATGGCTGGCGAGCGCAGCAACGGTGGCGGAAGCCTCTCCCGCCTACACGCAGTCAGACATCCCCTGAGGGCTCCTGGACTGCAAGAGGGCACAGGCTGGGCTGAGGGACTCCCTCCCCCACCTACCCCCCACCTGAATTTCGTGTACCGGGCCTCTAGTTTGTACATGATGCACCACCATCCGGTTTTAATGGCTTTTCATTGTCTATGATACAAAACCTGTTACTTTAACCTGGCACTACTATTTAGTACTGTTCCAGTTAACTTCACTCACTAGTGGAACCTCCTTTCATTCATTGAACAAGTATTGAACACCCCAGGCACAAGCCTTAGAGAACAGAATGAGGGTACAACAAAGTCATTGTTCCTTGTAACGTAGCATTCATGTTCTAATACAGAAGTACCAGTCAGCACATGTGGATACTCACCAAGTATGGAAATAAGGTTCCTTTTGGAAGATGAAATGAAGCCAGACAGGTAACAGTATCAATAAACAATGTCAATTGAGTGCTTACTGTGCCGGGCACTGTGCTAAGTGATACTTCATTTCATCTTCATGATCTTTTGAGAAAGCTACTATTCTTGTCATGTGACAACTCGGGCTCCAGGGAATTTGTGAAAATCCACTCAGCTAGTAGTGAGTGGGGGATAAAAATCCAGATCTATTCCAAAGCCCAGATTTTAACTTAGGCTGAACTGCTTAACCCACCACCCCGCAGATGGCTTTTAGATGATACCAAGTCCAAGGTGACTAAGCTATTTTAACTGTCTCTCTGGCATGAGTTTAAAGTTCCTTCAAGGCAGGCTTATTTGCATTCCCAGTGTGACAAACAGATTCCATACTTATTTATTGCTGCTAAAGTACATCATCATCTTCATCATCACCCACAAATGTTTTTTAAAAAACTTATCTGGGCAATGAATTATGCTGATACTTGGAGACCAAAAGAAGTTCTGAGGTGATGCAAAAGGACATTCTGATGATTTCTGAAACCCTTCCCTGATCCCGATTCTCTTTTGAACCAGAGACAGGGAACTACACAGTGACGGGAGGGAAACTAACAGGACAGCAGGAGTCCAGCCATGGCAATGGCCCTCTCCACAGTAAAGGCCCTCTCAGTCCAAGCGTCCTGCAAGAGGTCTGGGTGATGCTGGCCACCAGCCTGATGGTCCTTCAAGGTATGTTCAGATGAAGCTTAAACACCTGTTATGATCCAGAGGGTGGACAGGAAGCCGAGTGGGGAAGGGACGTGCTCGGCAACCCCTCACTGTCCGCAGGGAAACATCGAACCAATGAGGGCAAAACTGATCCAAGGGGACTAACTAGGGAAAGACGGGTGAGTCAGGCTCTGCTTTGGGTAGGTCAGACTTGTTAGGAAAGGCCTGGAGAGAGGCCATTAAATACAGCTCCTGTGCTCAGTAAGGAACAGAGGGCTACACGCTGAGGCCATTGTGTGAAAATGAACAAGGGAAGAGAAAGGTGAGGTTTGAACAGTGCAGCTCCTCAGCAAAGGCTGATGCCAGATCGAGTATATTCAGCACTTCTGGCTCGCACTTCTGGCTCAGCCCCTGCGCACCCTTTACCAAGAAGAATCAGGTTTTCCCTAACAGACTGGAACTTGCAATGCTTTGCCATTACGTTTTTGCATAAATCAGATGCAGGGTTTTGTCTGTCCTTGGCATTCTATTCCATCTTTATTTAGGCATTCCTCAAACCAATCAATATCCACCACTTGGTTGTCACCAGAACGTAAGCTCTCTACATGCTGGGACTTTATCTTGCACACGCAGGCTCTTAGTAAATGTGTTTGAAGAATCTGCATGATGGGCTAGGCCTTACACGATGATTCTAACCTCCTACCACCCTTTGAGACAAAGATTCCTGACTACTCATCAGGAAAATGGGTACAAAGAGGTGAAATGTTGCCCTGGTTCACAGGTGCTTCTCACTAACACCCTGTGACCTCAGGAATTATCTACTTCAATCTCAACTCCTTCACCTCCCTCCCCATCCTGAGGCCGCCTCCTCACATTTCTAGAAACAGGACCTAACACTCCCTTAGTCCAACTCTTTACCTACAAACCATCAAAAGAAAAGTGACTTTACCCGTGATGCTTGGCGAGGACCTGCCAAATGTAAGCCTAGGCCAGTTTTCAAGAAGAAACTGGTGAAAATCAATCAAGCAGTCTGACCCTATAGACATATTCTTTACTAGAGGCCCAGTGCACGAAATTCATGCAAAAGTAGGCCCTCGCAGCCCCGGCTGCCTCGTGCCCCCCGCCCACTGGTCATTCCGGAAGGTCATTCCGCCATCCAGTGTAATTAGCATATTAGCTCTTTATTATATAGATTTAAACCTAAATTCTCTCAGGTGGTTAGGTTACTGTTAGTAAAATAAATTTTACTCCTTCATACAGAATAAATGCCCTAAAAAAAGTGGAGGAAGTAAGTCTAGCCATTCAATCTACTACACTTACTACCCGAGTCCCAAATTATGCCAGAGTAAAAAATCTAAGCTCGTTTCCCTTCTCCTGTCAGATGAAGAGAATGAAGTTTTGATAGTTCATTCCTTTTCTTTATTCTCCCTCCCCCAACAAGACTTACCAGAATTATTAAAGAGGCAGCATTCAGTAGGAAAACAGTACGTGTTTTCTCAGGTCTAGGGGAATCATATGGATCAAGTTAGCATGTTTACACATGACAAAAAGGATGAGGGCGTTTGCTAGGTCTGTACCTTCTTCAGCTCATGACTAATTTCACTGAGTACCCTTGTCCTATCACCACGCCAGCCATTCAGTACCCTCCATGGAAAACCTACCTTGAACTTTGAGTGGCATCTACTACTTCTTCGATTGTCCTACTTTGCAGCACGGAGAGACTGGTGGTTAGCTCCCTTCCCACTGCCACCAGAATGTGAGATTTATAAAGATACAACTGCAACCTCAGTAGTAAGACACAACACATAGCATGCATCCCATTTTTCCTTTTCTGTTCCCTCTCAAGCCAGGAGCGCCTATCACACACACAGGAAGCCTAGCAGGGATGAATTTACATGAGGTATTTTGTTGCTATTCTAAGTCGTGTGGCAGTAATAAACTTTCCGTTTTCTTTCTACAGCTCTGTAAGAGCTTCCTGCCAGAAGAAATCTTTTTAAAAATCACAGCAAGATAAATATGTTTACCTTGGTATCTTTCACATTACAACATGGGCACAGGGGGACGTGCCAAGAATCTGGGGAATATAAAATGGGACAAATGAGTGGATCCCTTGACCTCCCCTACTTACTTCCAGGGCAAGCCTGCCTTCTTCCCACCTCAGTCCCAGTGAGGGGAAGAGCAGCTCTCACCGTGGCTGGGGCAGTGCCCACTCAGACACGGGCTAAGTCCATGTGTTTCTGTGTCCCCAGAAGAACTTTTCCTCGGTCCATCCCCCGCCCCCCCCGCCCCCGCCCCCAAACACAGTAAAAGCAGCAAGTCAAACCAAGTGAGAACACCAATTTTGGGGGGAGAAATTGTTATTTACCACTAAAGGGAAGAAAGAAGAAAGAAGCAAAAGAGAGGTAGGAGAGGAAAGAGACCCAGACCCAGTGTCTCGACTCTGCATGAACACAGAGAAAATGAAGAGAGCACCTGGTGTTCGATGAGGGGAGGAATCCACACAGCACTGATGGAGGAAGATTTGTGCAGACCAGATGCACCACGATCACAACTGCCTACCTTCAGCGAAGTACTTACCAACATCTTCGGTCATTTCTCTTTTTATATAAATGCCCAAAGCAGTATTTGCATCCTTTTCTCCCCTAAATTCACAAACCCTCTTTCTCTTTAAACAGATGACCTCTTGTCATAGTTAAGCAAGGAGGTAGGAGGCGGGGGGAGGGGAGGGAGGATATGCCTGACAGGAAGAACTACATGAATAGAGAGGTACGAACACAATTTCACTGGAACTAAATAGTAAACTATCAAAAGGAAACACCTTACCTGCAATCATTGGCCAGGATCTGCCCAGTGTGGGAGCTAAGGCTTGTGGGAACAGAGAGAAGGCTGGAAGAGACGGGTAAGACCCTTATTAGTGATGGTCTTGAACCTCAAACTCAAAGGATTTTGGATTTTGTTTTATAAGGTAAAAAAACTAGGCATGGAGTCAAAAGACCTGCTCTGCAACATACCAGCCCTGTGTACTTGGGCAAGTGAAGTTCTGAAATGTATCTTTCAAATAAGTCAATACTGTGTTTCAACTGGATGAGGATTCTGGTGTGACTAATAAAGACAAATTGATTTAAAAGTATTACTGAAATCTTAGTAGCTTTTTGTGATGTATTTATTCGCTAAGATACTGAAGATACAACTATCACCTCGTTGGGAAGGAATCTAGTACCTTTTGGACCTTAAAAAATAGTACATCTTATTAGAAAATGTGAAGATTACCACAAGCCTGCATCCCGTAATTCACAGGTAGAAGTATCCTAGCTGAGAGAGGAAAGGCAACATGTGGAATCCACTTCCGTGGACCCCTTCTAAGTGTAATCAGCAAGACGAAGTTCTCATGTATAAGATCGTAGAGTTGGATGCATGTAATTGGAACCTTGCAGTAAGAGAACTCTTTCCTGCCGGTCCCCCAACTCCCAAATCTCCGCTGATTTATTCTTGTAAACAGCACTCTGGTCTTCCCACCTCTCCATCAGCGGTCAAACAGGGTTTCCCCCTAGCATCGTCTGTTACCACCCTCCTCCTTTGCCTCCTAAAACCTATTGTCTTCACAGATGTCAGTGGCCTGCCTAGATCAGCTCTAACAACCAACTCTGAAGTGCCCTTCACCTCCAAAACCCCAGACGCTGCTGTGTTATTGTTTATAACAGACACAGACTCATTCCCCCGTCAGACTGATATATTTAATTAGTTCCTTGAGGAAGCAGCACCTAGACACCAGGGAGAAAGAAACTGAAGCACGCAAGTCATGAGAGAAAGTCAATTGGCAACAATAATTTATCAAGAAAAAATTTTAAAAACAAATTATATTTGAGTTCAACTTAATATCATACAGAAGCAATGGATGATAAACACCCTTTTCTCAAAAGTCCTTTATTCTTAACCTCATCAATGACCACACTTTTACTTCTACTGAATCCCTTCACCACACCATGTAACAGGGCGCTTGCCAGGCCAACAGTGTCCCAACACAGAACTGCAGAAACACAGGCGCCAAGGTGCTCAGGCCTCTGCCGGGCCCTGCTCACTGCACCTCAGTGCCCATCAATCACATCCTTTCCTCTACAGTGAAATGTGCATGTGTGTGTGTGTGTGTGTGTGTGTGTGTCTGTGAATATATACATATATACATACACACACATATATTTGAATACAAAGACATAAACAAATACTTTTCCTCCTAATAACCACTTAATCAAAGTGATACCTGTTGGAGGGGAAATGTTCCCCAAAAACCTTCTAACTAAGTTGAGAGCTAATTATTGGACCAACGAGTACTACTCAAGGAAATATCTGACAAGTACTTGGCTCAATTGTTAGGCAGTAAATGTTGACAACTACAATTTATAATAAGCTAAGGAAGCTATTTGATTTATAGCCATTTCCATATCCTCCACCTAGAATAATCCTTTTTTTCTTAGAAACTAATACTTTAAGGAAAGAATTGAGCTATACCAATAGGGACAAAATGTCATTCTGGATTCTCCAAGTTTCTCAACTCTTCAGAGAACTGACAATAAGAACTTTGAAGGAAAATTAATGCTTGTACCAGGATTATTCCTTCTCCCTGCTCCAAACTCATTAGCTTAGAAACTTTCAAGATGTCGAAGCGATACCAGCTAAAAGTACCACTCTGCCCTTCCCACCCTACTGCCCAGTTCTGCCGAGTCAGAATGAACCCAGAGGAACATGACTTATACTAACCCATCTGGAAACTACCTGAGAAGCCATCATCCCTTAGAGGCCAGAAAGGAGTGCCCTATATAACCTCTCAATGTTCAAGTCTACCAATTTCTAGACATGTCTCTGACTTAATGGTAGTTTTCTTCCCTCCTATTTCAGATCATAACGGACAAGAGGAAGAGAAAGACATTCGTGAATAAAAAAAAACAATCTGTTTAGCTCTGCCGGGACTCATATTACATTTAATATGAATGTAAAAGCCTCAAGTCTAAGGGCTCAAGATCTGAAATTGCAACCGTTTTCTCTTCTCTTTGACAATCAGAGAAAGCTGTCGTCTTTTGAGTCCCATTAATGCTCCAGGTTCCGGAGTCTGTAAGCCTTCCAGTTAGGAAGGAAAGAAACACCTGAGAAGTCTGGGTTATGTAGCCCTCTGCCTTCAGCACTGCCTCCTATTGAAGAGCAAGGCATTCCTAGAAACAAACTCTGCATGTCTCACCCCAGACATGCTGTGGTGTTAGACCAATGAATCTGCAAAGTTTCTCCCTAGAATGGGAGGTACCTCAGATTTCCAGGTGGATTTAAATTGAAGAGAAAAAATAGCTATTATGCACACAGCAAACTGGTCCTCATCCCACGAATGTGTCTTCTACCGTTTAACCCTAGTACTAAGGTCTCTAAACAAGACAGATATTTCCTTAATTTGGCAAAATTTAAGTGGGATAAGGATCATTCGACTGTGTGCAACATTTCTATTTTTCCTTCTTGTGATGGTTAATTTGTGTCAACCTAACTCAGCCATGAGATGTCAAGATACCTGGACAAACATTATTTCTAAGTGTGTCTCTGAGAGTAATTTTTATAAGATTAATACCTGAATCAGTAACTGAATAAAGCAGATTTCCCTCCCTAATATGGGGGAGCCTCATCCAATCAGCTGAGAGCCTGAATAGAACAAAAAGGCTGATAGTCCTGCGAGGAGGAGCTCCACCTGCCTCGCTGCCTGAGTTGGTTCATCAGCCCTGTCCTGCCTTTGAACTCAAAGTAAAACATCAGCTCTTCTCGGGTTTCCAATCATCTGGCTTTTCAGCTACAACGTACTCCATCAACTCGCCTATGCTCAGGTGTTTGGAATCAAATTAGAATGCCACAGCTGTCTCTCAGAAAAATTGTGACACCCTGGAAAGATCTTGGAACCTCTTAGCCTCCGTATCACATGAGCAAATTCATTATAAATCCATACATGTATACACACAAGCACACACATATCCTACTAGTTCTGCTGCTTTATAAAACCCAAATATATTGCTTAACCTAAATTAACCTGAAGTCTGAGATGCCTCCTATTTTAGGAAGAAGCACTTCAGATACATAAAGTGGGAGGAGTCTGGGGACAGCAAAAAGTGAAGAAATTTTCAGATAATTTAGACTGTTACTAGCTATTCTGTGTGCTGAGAAAGTAAATCCCTATTCCAGCACTTTGTTTCCATCCTTCTAGGAAGCTACTGAGATCTTTTCTAGTTCTCTGGTTTTAAGTAAAAATACAAATGCCTGTCCTGGCATCTCCAGACACTTAACAGGCAGACAAAGCTTTCCAGGCTGTCACAATTTTTCTGAGACAGTTGAATAGTGGCCATTAAATATTCATAATATACCTCACACTCCCTCCAGCTTCTCACCTCCCCTCAAAAGCAATGTTTATTTGGAGGCTAGATTTCAATAGGCTTAGTTAATAGCTCACATTCTCCAAAGAAACAAACTCTACAGAGATATGACATGAGAGGCATATAAAAAAATCTTTTATTTCCTCTTGGCCCAACCTGAATCAGACCTTATGGACACACCTTTTACGGGCAGGCTATTAATTCAGCAGCCCACTTTTCTTTCTCTCTTCCCTCCCCTATCATCTACCACTAGAGATATCATCTATATCTCTAATCCCCTTCCCTAACCACCACCCCCCCCCCCAAATCAGAGTATAGTGCATGATATTCAACAAAAATAAAGACAGAAGCCAAGAAAGAGACTCTCTTAGAGGCTTTCTTGTTCTGATCATTCCAAACTATGACCAGACTAACAGTGCCTCTCTGTAACCCTTTTGGGTGTACCAACAGTACCCATCATTTCCCTTTGAGGTTTTGAGATTCTGAAGACATTTCTGATCTTTTCCAAATGCACCAAGCAGCATATGCGTGTAGATGGGACACTGTTAGGCTAAAAAAAGTAAGGCCTACCTCTCCTAGACCAGGCTGTTTTGAACATGATCACAATAATCAGTTTGATTAAGGATATGCAGAACCAAGCAAACAAAGGTTTCAGAGATGATCAAAGGGCTTAAAAAATTAAAGTAAGACAATGTAAAAATCTCAATTCCTAAATATCAATGAATTACTAAAAACAGTGAACAGAGCAGCAATGAAGGCATTCTATTTCTGTGAGGGAAATTATTTTAAAGTCCGCAGGACAAAAGACATAAACAGTGAGATGGGGACCATTAAAAAATGTCAGAACCAAAGATTTCAAACATGTGTCCTTTGCCTGTATGCTGCTCCACTCTTTCGAAAAAAGGAGCCAGAATTAGATTCCTACCAACAGAAGACCCCTAAGTCGCGGTGGCTGGTTTCTGCAGAAAGTGCACCTTTTGAAGTAGTCTTTAAAAACTAAATGAGAAACCCAGAGTATAATGATAAGCCACTTTCTCCTTCCCAATGTAATTTTTCTTTGATTTGCTGTCTGAGGGTTCAAAGTCATTAGTCTTAGATTTCTGAATTAATCTGACCTTAATTCATAGCTAATGTGGCCAAGAATATATGCTTTTGTATGATTAAAACAGAAAGACTTACATCAGTAGGACTTTTGGGCTCTGGTTCCACTGTATTTATCATAAAATACACTAATGATAGGATGGAGGCTGGACAAGGGAGTGAAAACATCTAATAAAGGGCAACATGGCAGATAGCAGGACCCTAGCTAGACTTTAAGGAACTAGTTCTATTCTGGCAGGGGGAACCCACATAATTAAGTTTCACACTTATAAAATTATCACTCTGATTCAGCAGTAAGAGGCATCTGGTTTTAGATACAATTCCGTCTATAGATGCTAACTTTAAATTTAAAGAAAACACTCTGCATTAATATTATGGGTTGGGGTTTCTTATACGATTTCTAACTCCACCGACTATTTTGTTTTTATACAATTCACAGCTATGGTAAGACTACCACAGCCCTGGCTCAGACGTGGTCTTTAGATTCAGAAAGTCCATCGGTCATGTAGCTGGTTGTCACTGCTAAATCTGTTGCTTGCAGAGGCCTCAGAGTTCTGGGTTTGCCAAGTAGAGTCCTCACCATTTAAGCTCTTCCTACATATAGGACATGTATCGTGCTGAAACA